CAATTCCTCCCATAAAATAATATATATTACTAATAATCGTTATGGTTTTATGAGTCGTTTAAAAAAAGTACTGCTCTAATTGGCAAGCTGAAATGCATCTATTGATCTACCCTGCTGAACTCACATTATTTACAGTGAAAACCCAGAATGGGTATTTTATACAGTAGAATGCAGAAATGGGCTATAGCATGAACAATCTTTTTTTTGCGATAAAAGGAAATAAAACCTAGTTATACAGTAGTGCAATAACACAGAACCCTTCCATGAACAGCAACAACCCTTATCCTTTACTTTCTTAGCAGGCTAATTCTAGCCACACACTAGGCAATTTTGTGGTAATAGCAACTAGTCTCTAACAGTAAGTAAACCTAAATTAGGGGGAACACATAAATCTTTTGTAAAAAGAAACTTGCACAACAGGTACACTCCTGTCAAATCTGAAAATGAAACATTAAGCTGCATAAAGGAAGCATTGATTACTTGATCTGCAGATCTGTTCCTTCAATTCACACCTCCTCTTCCCCCAGAAAGTATTAGTGAGAGGTAGCCTTTTAAATACAGGGGAACCATTGAAATAACTTTCAGGTCTTAGGGAACCCCTGCTAAAAATTACTACATCTATAGCTCAAAGCAGATGAGCGTGAACGATAAGTTGCAACAAAAGAATAAGGAATATGCAATACTTAGTGCATAGTTGTCAACATTTCAAGGACGTTGCCAGGGACACCTGATCTTGTTGTGTGTCCAGCAAGCCATTGTAGGCAGAAAATGTACTTTAATTAGTGGCAGACGTACATATTCTCCAGCACACCATGGATCCCCAATATGGTCCAAAAAAGGTTTTTTATTGCAAAAAGATCAAATCACGAAAGAAAGTGCAACGTTTCAAAGCCGCGCAGTACCCCTTCGTCAGGCATATGATAAGGATGCAGTAATGACTATACATAATATATATATACATAAACCACCAATCAAAACCAAGAACCTATCACCACCCCCATCATCTGACCTCTCATGACATCACAATCCCACCAAATTATACAGAATATGGTAATAAAGAGTCTCAGTGCTGTGTGTATAAAGCTCCTTGTGCCAAAAATTACCTTATGTCAAGTGCAGCAGTTGTGGTGCTAATATATATTGTCGATTGGGCACACTACCCAGATGTATCTGATTAAGTATCGCTAGTGGGGCTCGGCGTTGGCCACCAATCAAGGTACACATGTGCACACAGCTACTAAGCGACGGGACACAAGAACAACCTCTTTTAGAGCCTGGATGCTGGATGGAGAGTGATGCTCAACTTGTCTCCTGCAGAGGTATGGCATGCATGGATATTGTCCATGAAGGAAGCCTCTCCCAATGCCCATGCACAAAAAAGCCCACCTAGAATTTGCCGGAGCCCATGTTGAAAAAAAGAAACTACTGGGACTCTGTACTCTGGAGTGATGAGACCAAGATAAATGCTTTGTGAAATGATGGCTTCAAAACTGTATGGTGTTGCAAACGTGAGGATTACAAAGAGAAATACATGGTTCTTACCATGAAACATGGTGATGGCAGTGTCCTTCTGTAGGACTGCATGAGTGCTGCTGATGTTGGGAAGTTGCATTTCATTGATGATATCATGAATTCACTGATGTATTGCTCTATATTGAAAGAGAAGATGCTACCATCACTCAATGCCCTTGGTTGTTGTGCACTTTTCCAACATGACAATGATCCAAAACACACATCTAAGTTTAATTTCTGAAGAAGAACAGGGTGAAAATGATTCAGTGGCCAAGTATTTAAAGGGAAAATAAATCAGCATATAGGAGATTCAAGGAAACAAGACTTGTAGCTGACAGAGGAAAGTATAAGAATAGACAAAAGGAGGCCAAACACATTATCAGTGCTGTCAAAGCACAAAAAGAGGAGGAAATTGCTAAATGTATTAAGAAAGGGGATAAAACCTTTTTTAGGTACAATAGTGATAGAAAGAAAAAATATGATGGGATCACTAAAATGGGCACAACACTTATGTTAAGGGAGACCTGGGTGTAGCAAATCACTTAAACAATTACTTTTGTTCAGTGTTCTCAGAAATAAATTATACTAACTATAATAAGTTGGGAAATCATATTGGTTCTAGTAATGATGGATCATGTTTAGGATTTTTGGAGACAGAGGTAGCAGAGGAACTGGTTTGGTTAAAGATTAATAAAGCAATGGGCCCTGATGATATTCATCCCAGAGTTCTAAGAGAACTTTGAGGTATAGTTGTTGGATGATTAACTAATCTTTTTAATCAATGTCTTCTAACAGGAGAAGTTCCCCATGAGTGGCTGACAGATAATATTGTACCTAATCACAAGAAGAGCAGCAAGGTAGAAGCTGGCAATTACAGGCCAGTGAGTTTAATATCGGTTGTAGACAACTTAATGGAATCACTCCTGAAAAGAAGGATCATTGATCACTTAAAAAACACATGACTTGCTGGATCCAAAGCAGCATGGCTTTACTGAGGGCAGATCATGTCAGACTAATCTGAGTGGATTTTTTTACTATATTATCAATGTTTTGGATCAGGGTGGTGCTGTGGACATAGCATATCTTGGGTGGTTCAGTGGATATGCACTTGGCTAAAGGATAGATACCACCTCTGCAACATCGCCAAAATACGCATGTTCCTAACCCCAGAAACCACTAAGCAGCTCATCCACTCCCTCATCATATCACGACTCGATTACTGCAACTCCCTCCTCACTGGCCTGCCTCGCCACAGGCTATCCACGCTTCAGTCAATCCTGAATACGGCAGCCAGACTCATCCACCTTATCAACCGCTCGGTTTTCGCAACCCCCCTCTGCCAATCCCTCCACTAGCTTCCGATTGCCCAACGGATCAAATTCAAAATCCTAACACTGCCGTACAAAGCTGTCCATAATTCTGCCCCAAACTACATCACCGACCTAATATCCAAGTACCACCCTACACGCACTCTCCGCTCCTCACAAGACCGCCTTCTCTCTAGTTCCCTAGTCTCCTCCTCCCATGCCCGCCTCCAGGACTTCTCCAGGGCATCACCCATACTCTGGAACTCCCTATCCCAATCCATCAGACTATCACCTACTCTCCTCTCCTTTAGGCGCACCCTGAAAACCCACCTATTCAGGGAAGCCTACCCCACCCCCTGCTAATTCCCGACCTCCTCCGCTCTTCCTACCACTCCATCCCCCTCAGCTATTTCCTTCTGTACCACTATCCCCTCCCTCCTAGATCGTAAGCTCCAAGGAGCAGGGCCCTCAAACCCCTTCTGTATCGCATTGTATTGTTATTGTACTGTCGCATGTTCTGTCTCCCATTGTATTGTACAGCGCTGAACAAACTGTTGGCGCTTTATAAATACTGTATAATAATAATAATAATAATAATAATAATACCAGAGTGTGGTTGTAAATGGGGTTCACTCAGAAAAGAGAACAGTCACTAGTGGTGTACAACAAGGCTCTGTACTGGGTCCTGTTCTATTTAATCTATATATAAGTGATATAAATAAAGGAATGTTGGGTAAGGTATGTCTTTTTTGCTGATGAACACAAAGGTGTGCAATAGGGTTGATATCCCTGGAGGTGTATGTAACATGAAACATGATTTGGCATTACTGGAAGATTGGTCAATAAAGTGGAAATTGCAGTTCAGTGTTTCTAAATGTAATATAATGCAACTAGAGAAAAAGAATTCCTTGAGAGAGTACAACATTTGGGGTACAGTATTGGCCAGCCCTACAGAGGAAAAGGATTTGGGGGTACTTATTTTAGATGATGGCAAAATGAGCAGTGTGGCCAGGCAGCAGGGAAAGCAAATAGAATTCTAGGATGCATCACTAGAGGGGTCACCAGCAGGAGGAAGGAGGTTGTGATTTCCCTATATAGATCTTTAGTTAGACCTCATTTAGAATACTGTGTACAGTTCTGAAGACCTCACAAAAAGTTATTGATAGAACAAATCCATAAAAAGGTAATAAAAATTGTGAAAGGTCTGGGGGATAAAACATATCAAGAGCGACTTCAGAAACTTAACATGTACAGTGTAGAAGAAAGAATGGAAAGGGCAGACATGATTGAAATCTTTAAATACATCAAGGGGGTAAATAAGGTTCTGGAGGGCAATATTTTCAACACAAAACTAAAATCAAGAACATGGGGACATGACCTTAAAACTAACTGGAGGAAAGTTCAAAACTAATCTCAGAAAGCACTATTTTACTGAAGGAGTAGTTGATGCTTGGAATAAATGTCCAGCAGAGGTAGTGAGCCAGTCAACAGTAAATAGCTTCAAATATGCTTGAAACAAGCATAGATCTATACTCAGACAAAAAAAGTTAACAAATACATTTTAAAAAACAAACAAAAAAAAACAACTCCCCTCCCCCGCCAAAAAGAAAAAAAAGGCAGACTCGATGGACCACTCTGTCTTTTTCTGCCATCACTTCTCTATGTTTCTATGTATGTCTTTTGATCTGAACCCAATCAAACACCTATGGGGAATTCTGAAGAGGCAAGTTGAGCATCACTCTCCATCCAGCATCCAGGCTGTTGCAATATATCGTCAAATTGTTCATTCCATGCCTAGAAGACTTGGTGCTGTCCTTACAAATCATGGAGGTCATAGAAAATACTAGATGGAGTAGTTTTTGTTGTGGGGTGTATTCACTTTTGTATCAAATAATTTGAGTAAAACTGAAGATTTTGTCATATGCTGTTTTTTTGTGAGAACCCAATTCCCTTGATGAAGTCACTTGACCCCGTGAAGAAACGGATCGGGGGATGGGAAGCAGCTAAAAAATGGGTGTTGATTTACGGTTGGGTTGTTATAGCAGCTCACATGTCTTAAATAAACTTTCCTTTTAATACTGTGCTTTTCATTCTGGCTATGCTAAACCTTTTTAGTTTTGTTATTGAATGACCTACAAAATGTTATCATCTAATTAGTCATTGTATTGTCTCTCTTCCTAGCACTCTTTTGGAAACCCGGAAATTTTTATAACTGAAAATGGATTTGCCCAGACAGATCCTCCTGCTCTCCACGATGTCCATAGATGGGGATATTTTCAGGAAACACTAAGGGAAATTCTAAAAGGTAAGATGGTTTCTTTAGTATTACTATACCACACAGTCTTTAGTTTTACAGTGAGATCAGGATGAGAGCTAAGCTGCTGAGAGAACAAGCTTGATCATTTGTGTTTGCTGTGAATCAGGGGCGGACTGACCATTGCGGCACTCGGGCACTGCCCGAGGTCCCAGGGTCAGTAGGAGGCCCCATGAGATGCCCCTGGTACCTCTCATAGGCTGTTTTGGGTGTGGTTTGAGTGTGAGCGAAGACACTGGGGCCCCATGATCCCCTATTGCCCGGGGGCCCCATGAGTTGCCAGTCCACCCCTGCTGTGAATTTTGAGGATAAGTCGATCCACAGTGCATGCAGCTACAGAGTTCAGAAGAGGTTTGTTTTAAATCCAATTTACTGCTTGATAATAATATGTAAATATTCTAATGTCCATACCCGGGCCATGATTACATTTTAAGGATTAGTGTTAAGCTCAGTGATTTGGGGGTTGGGTAAAGTTAAAGGCAGTTTTACTTTTGTGTAGTTCTTCTTTATAACTTCCCCTAGTCCCCAGGAAGTGAAATGCTTCCCTTTATCCCCACTCCTAGGATCTCTACTGTGTGCCCCTGCTTCATGGTGCACATTCAGTAGGTGTTAAATTTAAGGGTTGGGTTTGGTTTAATTGGTATTAAAGGTTCGGATTTAAATGAAAAAAAAAATGTCATACTTACCTGCTCTGTGGAGTGGTTTTGCACATAGCACTCTGACCCTCTTTTTCTCGGGTCCCCGAGGTCACTCCTGGCTACCAGTGCCCCCAATAGCAAGCCGCTTGCTATGGGGGCACTAGTGCTTGCTCCCTCTTGAACCGGCTCTATGTGTCCATATGACACATAGAGTTTCAGCTTGTTCCTCCCCCCTACTCTCTCCTCATTGGCTCACTGGCCAATGAAGTGACTGGCCTCAGGTGATACACAGAGAGAATGACATCCTCCTACATAGGTTGTACCTGTTTATCTGCAGTATTCTGTTCTCTACAGGCATTCAAAGTGCAGAACTAATACAGCTTGTCTGAGCTTCCAGAAAGCAGGGGGTGGGGAGCTGAAGTTACACTTTGCAGAGCTCAGTGAGAAGAGCTGAGACACACACACACACACACACACACACACACACACACACACACACACACACACACACACACACACACATGAACAGAGCTGAGGTTGTCAATCACAATGTGTTCTGGAGATCCTCTTGGTGTCAGGAAAATTGTTAGAAGTGACTCATACAGATAACAGAGATAACACTTATGCAGGCCATAGATGGGTCGAAAATCGGCCGATTTTTCGGCCGAAAATAAAATCGGCCGATTTTCGGATCGTTAGTGGGCGATTTGGTCGGCCGTTTTTCGGTATTTTGGCCGTTTTTTTTTTTTTCGGTAAAGTTGGAAAAAAAATCGGCCGATTTTGCCGATCGGCCGATTTTCGCGGCAATTAGTGGGCAAATCGGCCGATTTTTTACCGATAAAAAATCTGCGCATGAGCAGTGACCTGCAAGAGGAAGACAAAAAGAAGAAAAAGAAGAAGAGGAAGACGATGAAGAAGAGGATGAAGAAGAAGAAGAGGAAGAAGAAGAGGATGAAGAAGAAGAGGATGAGGATGAAGAAGAAGAGGATGAGGATGAAGAAGAAGAGTATGAGGATGAAGAAGAAGAAGAGGATGAGGATGATGATGAAGAAGAAGAATAGGATGAGGATGCAGAAGAAGAAGAAGAGGATGAGGATGATGAAGAAGAAGAGGATGAGGATGAAGAAGAAGAAGAAGAAAGAAGAAGAAGAAGAAGAGGATGAGGATGATGAAGAAGAAGAGGATGAGGGGTGAAGAAGAGGATGAGGATGAAGAAGAAGAAGAGGATGAGGATGAAGAGAGGATGAGGATGATGAAGAAGAAGAGGATGAGGATGAAGAAGAAGAAGAAGAAGAGGATGAGGATGAAGAAGAGGAAGAGGATGAGGATGAAGAAGAAGAAGTAGGATGAAAATAAGAAGAATTCCAGTCCAGCAAAAAGTGTCTCTGCAGAGAGCTCCGCTATTTCTGACAGTTCTCTGACAGTTCCTTGACATTTACAGCGGTTGAAACATTGTATCTATTTGTTTCTGAATAAAAACATCTGTATCCTAAATGGAAACAAATAGATACATTGTTGCAACTTCTATAAATGTCAAGGAACTGTCAGAGAACTGTCAAAGAAATAGCAGAGCTCTCTGCAGGGACACTTTTTGCCGGCTCTAGACGGGTAGAAAATCGGCCGATTTTTTTTACCATTGATGGTAACGTCGGCCACTTGAACAACCGATTTTTCGTTTTTTAAAAGAAAAATCTGCAGTTTTTCTCCCCATCTATGGCCTGCATTAGTGTTCTGGACTGGAACAAGTACACACTGTAGATGGATATGCTTTGTTCACATTTCATGTCTGAGGTTTAAAATCACTTTAAGGGTCAGGTGATATGCTCAGTTTAATAGTGAGTGTTATATATATTTTTTGGTTTAGTAATCTAGTTTTTTTACCTGGTTTTAATGAATTGTACATTTTGTTGACACAAAGTTTTGTCTTACAGAAAATATGGAACTGGTTATTGTAACTACATAGATAAAATAATATCACCTAAACGCTTTTACTATGTAAGAATCTTGCAACCAGTAAAAAATTAACCAGTGGTTGGAATCAAAAGCCAAAGTGTTTATCAACAGTACGATAACAAGCTATCTTAGTTAAAATTAAATTTACTATCTCCAATGAATTCTACTAATATTTATATATACTGTATTAAAAAAAAAAAAAAAAAAAAAAAAAAAAAAATATATATATATATATATATATATATATATACACACTGTATATTAATATATAGTTAGTAAAAGCACATTGTGAGAAATACTTGAGAAAATACATCAAAACACAAATTAAATGAAACTAGGACCACATTAAAATGTTAACGAGGAAAAATAAATCAAACATAATTCAGCAAAATCAAAAATGAAAAATGAAAATTAGAAAAAAAAAAAGATATGGAATTAGTCAAAAACAGGAAATAAAATGAAAAAATTTAAATAACAAAAATCCCATGAAGCTCCAAGATAATATTGGTACAATTTTGCAGTGGCCTTAAAGAGATTGTAAAAGATCATATTTTATTTTTTAAAAATACCTAACATGTCATACTTATCTGCTTTGTGCTATCATTGGAGCCCTTATCCTCCTCTTCTCGAGTCCATAGTCAGTGCTGCTGGTTTCTCCCCCCTGCTGAGTGCCCATCACAGCAAGCCGCTTGCTATGGTGGCATTCCCTGTGTGCTCACTTCCGAGCCAGCTCTGTTTGTCCCCTCCTCCCTTGCCATGATTGACAGCAGCAAGAAAAAATGGCTCCCACTGCTGTCCCAGAACCAATGAAGAGGAAGAGAACCACTTTGATTGTGCACAACACTAGATTAGGATCAGGCACAGGCAAGTATACTGTAAGGGGAGAGCTAGGGGAGAGCTGCATGAAGGTTTTATTCCTTAATGCAAAGAATGCGTTAAAGTAAAAAAAACCTTCAGCCTTTAAAACCACTTTAAGTCTTGTAATACAGATGTCATGGATAAAGAATGAAAAATAATTGGATACAACTTTAGTGATATTAATGATATTAATAATAGTCCTACTGTAGTTGAAGCATAATACAGAGAAAACCTAGTGTGCCATAAGGAAGCAGGGGAGTAGAGACTCTAGCACCTCAGTTTATTGGTTTAATTGGTTTACCTTGCACACCTAGAGTACGCATTCTGTCCATAATGTAACCGCTTTCTTGTGAATCTCTTTTCACAAATCTCTTTGTTGGTTTACCTTACACACCTGCCTATAGTATCCATGAATTTATTAGACCTATCCATTTTTGTAGATGGTAATAAAATTATTACTAGGTCATACCAAAACCCATAGATGTTAACAGCTTCATTCTGCAGTATGGCTGATACTTCCCCAGGTGGCTGACAAATGTAGCTAAGTCAATCTTTTTAGTTAAAAAGTGATTTAGCAGAATAGAAGACCATAAGAAACATACTTAAATTACTCTGTGATAGTGAGAAGAACAAGGATATAAAAATGTTTTTATTAGAGAACTATATGATCAAATGGACCTGAACTAAGAAAGTGAGGATTTGCTATGTTACCGTGAATGTCTAGAAGTGTTAATTGTGCCTAAGCAGTACATTGAAAAATGCATCTTTTTGTCTTAAACTCCTTCTAATACATTGCAGTGCACTTCCTGGTTTGTGAATGTGCCTAGGCACTCTTGTGTATACAGATTCATAACTGCATATCTGCAGTGTCAGTACAAGGCACTGCTACCTCTGAATTCTAGTGATATTTGATTTCACTGCTGTGCTGCTCAATGTTCTCCTTGCTGGAGGTTCTGACATGAGGAAGCAAAGCCCTTCCTCTACCAAAATGACCACTGTCATTTTAGTGCAGAACGAGGAATGGTAAGTCAGTAATATGAAGCTGCAGGGAGCCTGTAAGCAATACTGTTGACTAGTCATTTTCCATTAATCAGCTTTTTTGGCACAGCTTCCAGAGTTCAGTTGCTCCTTATCCATGTATCAGGAAACTATGGACCAGTCAGCCTAACATCAATAGTATGTAAGGTATCTGAGGGAATGGTAAGAGACACGATACAGAAATTTGTCTTCAATAAAGGTGTAGCACTACCTCCTCGGGGGCTGCTGAGTAATTTTTGTGTTCCCTGTCTTGCCTGACCCCTCTCTGAAAGCCCAATGCCTGCTGACACAAACTTAAACCTCCAGTCAGAGGGACCCTTGTGTAGCCACAAATTAGACTCACAGACAGTTTAGAGTGAACTGATATCTTGGTTATATTGAGATTAAATGTAAGCACAGTGCATTAAATAATAGCTACCACTTGGAGTAATTTCAAGCAAAAGTCAAACACAGCAAATACTTAATCAGTTATGGATGTCCTGCAATTCAGCATTTAGCCAGAAA